CGATGATTTGGGGTATTGGAATAGTGGCAACTTACATACGATATACGTGTTTGAATTAATGCGTGTGACTAGAATGGAAGTTAAATCCGAGGTCTTCGAGAATAGCGAGCGAATGTTAGTGCTGACCCACCAGTAATCTTGACAGAGGGGAGTGCAAATAGGTTCAGTCTTCCATCCGGCCGGTTTGCGATTTTTGATCCAAGTGTATTTATGTGTCTCACCAAACATATAATTAATTAATGGAGAGCATAGAATTCCCACTTTCCAGTCGAAGTATGTCCTGACGGGAATAATTTTCGATCCTAGGTATGCTTAGCACTGATATATGGATTGAAACAAACGTCATAAATTCTAACGTGACGACGTGCAGACAATCGAACGGCGAATTACAAAGATTACGATATCTGCTATACTGTAATCAGTAACGGAGTGAATAAGGTTCAATGTTTCAGCANCTGTGCACAACTGTCTGGTCACACTGAACTTCGTGTGTGTGGGTGTGGATGATCACGTTACAGTCGTTGACATTTGTTGAAACGAACAAATACGGCTAGCTGCTAGCCACGCACTTCATGGTTAAATCGAATCCGCCAATGCACAGTCAGTTTCCCGGATGGCGGGAGCATTATTCATGAGGATAGTATAATTGGAAAATTTATGCAGTGATGGCGATTTCTAATGGGTTTTACAGGTCACAACCTTAGTGACATGGATTTTTTCCCCACGCGCCATGGTGTAATCTGTTTAGTTGATCTTTTGCAGAACTGCCGGGTCATTAACTATATATGGATGCTTTTCTTGACAAAGTCTGTTGGAACTGGCGACTACGCACGAGTTTCTGGATGCTGTTGTCACAAGTAGAAATATCATTTTTGAATTCGCTCAAATCAATTGTTCACATACCCTATTGATGATCTTGGTGTAATCCAAACAGGCCAGTCCAAAACGAATTAGTCATTCGTTCAAATGGATGACCGTGGTTCGTACAGTTTAGGAACAGTGGTTGTGAGTTGTCACCCGAATGCCCGCGATCAGAGTCCGGACAGGGACACATAGTGCACCAAGTCGGTCATGACACTGTTTTTATAAGTTTGAAATAGGTTCCAAAATGGTAAGACAAACTTTCCTCCCAAACAGTAGGGTGGAAGGGATGAGTTCCATCGTTACGAGGACAATGGATTCGGTCGTATTTAGGTTTTCACTTTTTCCACCCCTTGACCGAGCACCTACGTGCACTGGTTCTGGTTGCTATTTTTTTTTAATAAGACAGCGAAATAAAGAGTGAAATGTTGAGAGCAAATTCAAGGGAAGATAAAGCGAATTCATATAGACGAGGATTGCAAGAATATTGAGCAGATGCACGAGCGTCATTGTTTGCGACGCTCAGTCATGTCACACAAGCGTCTCTAACCACCGATTACCATGGTCTCGGGGTCTCAATCCAGGGAATAAAAGAATTGAGGTAAGTCAAGCGATGTGATTTATTACATCAGATGATTACATATTCAAGGCAATTCGGATTTTCAATTCTGAGCTATGTAAGTGAAAGAGGCTTGTCTAGGCCCTGGTGTTATCCTAACCGGACAGTGGATGGATTATGCATAAAACAGAGCATCAACCCTCCTCTTCACCCCCTCCCCCACTCGGTCATCCAGTATCCTATACCAAAATCTTGAAAATTATTTTTCTCTCTGCAGTGTCCTTTCCCGCTTACATCACGTGCTGTGCCTGACATGTAGTTTCTATTGCATTTTACGTAACTTCATCGCCCCCCCCCCACATCCCACATACACTTTCTCTCTCTCTGGCCTTATCGCACAACTTTCATCAACATTTTGATCAGACCATCTTTCTATCACTTTTTTCAGTTGACGTTTGTCCTCCTGCCTCTCCCCCCCCCGCCATGGCTGCCAATTGCCTTGTCACATTCGTTTGCCCCATAGGCTCCCTGGCTGGGGACCCAGAGATCATGATCACCGATGGTTAGAGACACTGAGTGATATGGCTGGGTGTCACAAACAGTGGCGCTCGTGCATCTACTCATTATTCTTGTAACATCAGTCTATGGAAATGTGCTATCTTTCACTTGACTCTGCTCTCATTATTCTAATCATCATTCTGCTGTTTTATCCAAATGGGCAACCAAAAGACAGGAACCAAAACCGGCGCAAGAAAGTGCATGGTTAATGGTTGTAAGAACTGAACTGAACTCTGATTGTTCGCTTCTCTCATTATTATAAACTGAGCTGTAATCGGCCAATCAGCTATCTGTTCTATGATCGTCTTATATAAGTAACCATGGCCTGATGCGATATATCAAAAGGAAATTTCTTCGCGAAACCCCTGTTTTCTCTAATCTCTATGGGAATGTTCTACGAATTGAAACACACGGTACGGTACAATTTCCAATTCATGCCAAATCATCTGGATGAGCAAAGATTCGGTATTTCGTGCCATATTCAATGGATGTCAACCTTACGTTCAGTAACTTGGAGGGGGTTCGAACCCACGCATGAACGCTTCAACATAATACTTCAATCTGTCAAACAGCAATTTGAGGGATGAAAACCTTAAAGAGTTAGGCGGAATGAAATTACACTGATTAGAAATGAAACAAGTGGTTAAGTAGTTCTGCAGAAACTTTCTACTTTTCAACATTGGCAAAACAGTTTTGTGATACAAAGAAATACGTGCAGATTGATGCTTGAACCCTGAACGCGTGGATAATGTAGATATAGCTTAAGAAATGGACGATGCGTTTCCAAGATTCGAGGCTGGGAAATAAAATTTTCTCATTCTTGTGTGTGCACCTGTCTATCCATGACAGAGTATATGAGTGTATCTCTAGTGATGCTATTGCACTAGGAGATTTGTTTTGGGTATGGTGGTGATGGTGTAGGGGTTTAGTCGCTGTCACCACCGTACTTTGGATTCAGTGGTCCGAGGTTCGAGCCCCGCCACCGCCATCCAACTTTGGCGGTGGGCAGCTTTGATGTCGTCCGGTTCCATTCCACGCCTGAGCTAGGGGGGCCTTATGTAGTTCGCCACTCCAATCCTCGGGGCTTAGGTTGTCGGTTACCATCACTGAACAGCAGTTCCTTGTGACCATGGTGTCCGCCGCGACCGCTGATCATCACACAGTGGTGTGTGATAAAACAAATAGACTGTTTTTGTGAACAAATTAGGGAACATCACTGGAGACTGGTGTTGTCAGGTGCTGCTCATATTTGTGAGTATCTTGCGCGCACCAAGAAGCGGTTGTTTGATTCCCCCGGCATTCATCGGTGGAATAAAGGATTTGCTTTTACAACTACAGAAGACACTAACAAACTTTCGGACTGGCGATCACCGGTGACGAAACAGTCACAAAAATATTAATCATTTTTTTTCAAATTATATGGTTCGTTCCACGTAAACTTCCTTTCCACATCCGATGCTGTTCTTCAAATAAATCGCCTTACTTGTCCCGGCAATGTCTTGTAAAATAATAGGACTGGTACAACCATTGAGGCACCACGACTGCATTCACAAAATCCTGACAGTCAACTTATGGGGAACAAAAAGCTCTCTTGATCAGAGTGCCAAGTATCAAACATTTCGAAACTTTACGGAATGTATCCTGAACGTGCAGGGAGCATGATGAATTGTGTTCCGGTATGACTCAAAGATATTTTACTCTTACTGATGTTGGTATGGGTTCACGATTGGCAGAAAGGGAGTAAAAACCTATGCGCGAGGACTCTGTGTGCGGTTTGTCGGCCCACATGGAACACAAAAAAAACCTGGCATTTTGAGGGGATTCAATCAAGAACAGACCTGGACAGGGATTAGTTCACAATTGTGCTTAGTTTGCTTCGAATGACCGAAGATTTTTTCAGCGGTCCGTGCGTTCCATGTTCAAAACCAATGCACGGGGTTGGTCATGGCGATGGTGGTCGAGTAGTGACCCGGAAGTCCCGGGTTCGAACCGCTCCAACGCCGCCGGTCTTCCCCATTTCTGTAGTTTCCCATGAATATTTGGTATGGCTGCAGCCCCCTTCCTGAAAGTTGACTGTAAATTTGTACACTCAATTACATGTAGAATGAATGTGGGATGGGCTTTTTTAATTTTAATTACCAGAAATAAGAAATAACAACTATTATGGAGTTAAAAAATAGAAACCTTTCGTTTCTTCTGGTTGCTTATACAATTCTAGACCATATGAGAAGTCTGTTCCACATTGCCTCATACCGCAAAAGAAATCAATAGACCTCTATCTAGCACGATTTGGGGGTTGGTCCCTTGGAGGTAACCACAAATTTATTTGATCAGATTATGCGTAACTGGATGTTTTGCAAAGCGAAAAACGCGGGAAGAACCTCACAGACCATGCATGTGATTTTTTTGAATACCCGATGATGCAAAGGGCGTGCGAAATCAAAGTTTGATATCACGTGATTAACACTAGTTTACTCAAACTGAAGCACCAATTGTCTAAACCGTCTGACAGAGTAAGTTCACTTCAAAAATGGAACAGACTGGAGAACAAACTGGTAATCAGTGATTCGTAGCCATTCCAATAGATCAAAGTACAGTTGATGAGCAGTGAAGCATAAAACTTGTTTGGGACGGGGCAGGGAGAATCAACACTACCGATTTTTTGGATTATTTTCATCTTTAAACTGGGTATGGGATTCACGACGATTACGTAACACACACACACACACACACATGCCTTCTATGCGATGGGTCCGAAGTTCAAACCCCGGACGGGACGGTCAATAACCACTACTGATGAACTCTAATAAAAGCGAAACTCGAGTCTAGTGCTTCCGAATGTATGGTTGACTAGAAGAACCGAGTATTGTGCCTGAAGGTGAAGTTTGAAGGATGTTCACTTCTAATTATTCAATATAAATTATCCACAACACTAATTACAAGTAATTGTGAGCCAAATGGGGGATTACATAAACGCTTATTCATTCATCCGATGGTCGAGATTACTTGGAATATTGCATAGGAGCTAAACAGCATGCATGAACGTTTTTTTGTGGGGAGAGGAGAGGGGACGAAGATAAGCAGAAGGCAGTTGTGCAGACAAATAACTATCCTTTCTGCTGTGGCAAGCTCCCGAAATCGAATCCAATCACTCACGCTCACAGTGTGATTCCTTCGGGCTAAATTTCACAGTAAACAAGTGGTGATAACTAGAACCGTTAGGGCCCCAGTTAAGCCGAATACCTTTTGTACAGACGCTAAACAACCCAGTTAAGTTAATGCTACAGATTACATTTATTGTGATATCATTTGTAAACAATCAACGACAATTGAGTTGACTATTTCTTTTCAACTCTATCTTCACTGTCAAATTAAGGACCTTGCAATTTTTAGTACACTTGCAAGGCACCCACATTGGGCGCTTTAGTGACAGGTTAATGCGAAATTTTGTCCATTCACTCACATTGATCTTCATGCCAGTGATTGATTCGGCCATATTCTTTACGACCACTTCCGGCCACCACGCAATATGAATTGAAACGATTTGGCACCGTTTCCTGTTCCGAAATATCAGTTTGGATATTCTGTATAGTCGGTATCATGTGCAAGGCCGCTTCCAATGATTTGTTACCCATCTCACATGGCCAATTCAATCGGATTAGAGCCAAATCGGTGGAGAGTTTATTGTCTTCTTGAAAATCTGGGTGGATGACAATTCGGTGCACGGTATAGTCATTCCCGATCGGTCGATAATCCCAATGGTCAGTTGGAACCGGACCGTCTAGCGCCTGACTGGCGCTAGGCGACGCTGAAGCCGATTTGTGCAGTGTGTAGGCGTTAATCCGTAACAGGTCTTTTGAATGTGGGCTGGAGTAGATGAATAGATTAGAATCCGTCATAGAAATGTACCATACGAGTGAAGAGTGTTCCGGGTGGACAATAATCAGCCACCCACACACGTTCGGGTTTTGGACAGTTTATTCCAGGCCTCAATTATGCGAGAGCAGTGGTTATATGTGGTGAATCCACTATTTTGATTAGAAAATCAAATCAAATCATTCACATGCAATAACTAGTAGGGTTCAGAAGGATTCCAAACGAATCATTAGCCTGGCGGCCAGGGTGCTAAGATGGGCGAAGTGTGATACCGGCAATAACTTTGCAAAGCTGAGTTGTACCATATAAAGTGTGTAGATAGATCCAATGAAAAACTGTCCACTTAGCTGCCTCCTGGTAGCTTTTGCTTGCACTCTACCTGTGGGGTGCCTGGTTCGATTCTCATCAGTTTGATCAACAGATTCGTGCACTACTTGCGGGCATTTCAGTTCACACTGTGTTTTCTCTGGAGAGGATGGCAATTCACCGAATAATATATCGATACATTGATCATATTGATCATATTATTGATTAGGGTAACATGGAATGATATCAGAGACCTACACACCTGCTGAGACATAACCAGCATTATATTCAGTAGGTTCAATGTGTCGGATTTCCCCCTATTCCATCAAGTGCAAAACTGGTCAAATTCGAACCATCAAAAAATATGAAACGCTAAGGAATTTTGTTTCAAAACAGGTATATCGCGTACCACAAACGAAATACTCACTTCTAACTGGCTCTTGTGCATGGATATTGGTAGGTAATGTGTGTTGGTGGCTTTGACCAATCAACCTTCACTGATTCCATTTTTGCACAAACACCTCTGTTACGTTTGTATTTCAAACTTTGTAGTCTCGGACCCGGAGCCCGCTAGCAAAATAGAACAACCGTACGCAGGTTAGGATAGGTTTGTTATGACTCATTCACAATCAATCGTGTCAAGCGCATGATCGACAAAGCAGCAATGAAACTACCAGTCAATTAGGATTGGGTCAATGTCGGCCCACAGTATTGGCATGGACAAGTGCTTGAGGTTGATTGATCTGAATAAATATCAATCGATAACATCTGTGGAACGAGCAAATTAACGATACGCAGGTTGGCCGAACGTGCGCACCTAAGCCGCAGGCGTGTAAGCAACAACCCCCATTCATGTCATCGATCATGCACGCATTTGGGAAGCATTGCACTCTAAGCGGAGCGAAATTCAAATTTTATGATTCTCTAATTTAATGATTGATAAATTGAATCGAGAATGGTGTGAGCTTATGACCTGTTCTATTGATTTATTAATGGGCCGATGCTACCTAATATTGTTATGAATTCACAAGACAGTGCCAGGACGAGGATAGTCATTCATTATGAATAACTGTCGGGAGACCAGTAAATTGGCATTCACACAACAAAATATCTCATTCGGAATTCCTACACGCACACAAGATGGTACACGGAACGGTCCATCTGTAGATGCACATGCCTGTAGTTACCATAATGAACACAGTAATTCGCTGCAACAGGTCTTGTTCATTTTTGACCGTTGGAAGAAACCGCTCATCGTATCCTTCTGCGAACTACTCACAAATGTGAGTAGTACCTCATAACACTACGACGCACGTCATGCCGACTTATCCTATTGCAATGTCCATCAGCTCCAGCCAATTAAATAAGTTAGTATTGTACTGTCCGTGCTGAATGATTTGATGACTGTATGACGGCCTGCTCTCTCACATTCGGATGTCATATAGCGCTCGCGACAGATGCCGGCCTGTCTACCTTCTTACTCACGTGTTAGCGGTACTGCTTTCTCAGCGGCCCAGCAGACCAGATACTCACTGCTCATAGACGTTCTACGTGGTCATTTGAATACTCAAACGGCACATAACAATGGCTATTAACAATGCATTCACTACTACGCCCTCATCTTTCGAGCACACTTTATCGGTGCCGAGTTAAATTTCCTCAGTCCACAGAGCTATTCGCTCTCGGAAAGGATGTTTAGAAAATAGTGCAAAGTTTGCTTAGAATACAAATAACAACTTTCTTACCTCTGAATAGTTTCAGAGAGAAAAATTATATCTATAAGCCTTGTCAGAAGGCCGAAAACAAAGTTTCATTAGCGATTTATTGGAACTTAATTAATTGTTATTTGTTCTTCTCATTGCTTCCGGTGTATAGCTGGGATAAAAAAGATTCCCCATTGTCCCTACCAAAAATCCCTAGTGAGCGTCACAGAGCGTCGAGTTTGAGAAGACCTACTGTTCAAAGCAACCTACGAGTGACTCAAATCGATGAGTCAATGCTGCTACCGGTTTTGGCTGCGCGCCAGATATGAACCAAGTGGTATCTGAATGATCGGGATAAGTTACACGGGAAGCACAATGCCGGTTTTCATGGTGATTGTCACTCATCAGATATGCGTACCCCGGTAATCCCTCTCGTGTTATACAATTGAACCCCAGGTGTATAATTTTGTCTAAAATCTAAAAATCAGCGACACCGTGTCTCTTCTCATTGATCAAATTGGTAAGAGATATTTCGCGCATTGAAAAAACTTCTGTTCCTCTTGATCTCTTAACGTAGCATTGGTGGGCCTTTTGTGTGGGAACTGCCAAGCAAGTGAACAACTTGGTTAGGCATCATTCTCGACGAGTTCCACAGACCGGTGAGATAGTCGTGCTCAGATTACGTGTCCAGTTCATCGTCTTCCATGTAAGCCCCGCTGTTCTCTTTTTGATTGCTGAATTTCCTCATTAGGTCATCGTATCTGACACGGGGAATTTGTGAATACAAACCAAAACTAGCCTCTTGTCAATGTTCTGGATTGGCTATTTGGGGTGTGACTAGCGCATGGGTTTCAACTGTGAATTTTCCGAACCTCGTCACACTTAGCCAACTTTGGCTAATGTCCCTGCATTCTTGCCCCTTCATCTACTTGGTGCCTTTGTTCTTCCCGTTCAATCAACTGAACGGGAGGAAACCAGTATATCTATAGACCATGGCTGCTCAATAATCTACCTGTTCGGGAGGCGTAAGGACCAACTTGACACGGTTTAGTTGCATGTAGAAGAGAGGACTGCGTGGCTATGGAAGAAATAGGAACCGATCATTGTTCCAAGACAAACAAGTTATCGATGTTTCAATCCACAGGTGGAATATGGCTGTTGAACTTCATATTGGTTTGTGCACATGCCTCCAGTATCTCAATTGGGTCCAAGTGACCATACAAGAGCTTTATTATTGCGCAGATTACTAATAAAAGATCAGTAGTGTTCTTTCCTCATCCATCTTCCTATCAAGATTTTCAGGCGCTTACCGATTTAGTTTCCGCGGTTTGGCCGTTTCAGTCAACAAATCAAGTGAGCCTATAAATCTAGCTACCGAGGGGATTGAAGACTTAGAATGCATTCATAATGGCCATCAATATCATAGATGCCAATGGCTCTCACCAGCAACGGGGTGCGCAAAGCGCACGCGAATCAACTGACTATTGGTTGAAGTCGTCAAATTAGTCCGTTAATCTTCCGTGAAATACCTGAAGTGGCTACGTCGTTAGTACATGCCTGCAACACATTATACCTGTGGCACACCAGGAAGGCTTTGACCGCGGCATGATGTCGTACGGAAGGTTTACTAATCTCCTCACAGCAATAGGGAAACAGACTATAGATCGCGAATAGCGGAAATTGTGACAGATAATGAATGTTTTTGAATTATGAAACCAAAATCAATACTTCCTTTTGGATATATATATATATACCTTTATTACACACCGGTGTATGATGAACAACAGACGGGGTGGATCCCAGAATCACTAAGACCTGCTGTTCAGTGATGGTAATCGGCAACCTAAGCCTCGGGACTTGGAATGACGAACTACCTAAGGCCCTGATAGGTCAGGTGGGGTATAGAACTAGGCGACAACAAAGCTGCCTACCACCAAGGTTGGGTAGTGGTGGCGGGGCTCGAACCTCAGACCATAGGGTCTGATGCAACTAAACCACAGCGTCATCATCAACACACACACACGCACATATACATAATATCAGCCCCAAACATCACCACGATCTAGGAGGTTTAAAAGCAAATAAATGTTAGGAATTTGCTTTACTGCCAACGGCTGACAAACTTCCCGTTGAACATATCAGGGAGTCTAACTTCACACAATCTTCTACGTTGTTTTAGAAGCAATTCCTTTCATGATTTTGAGCAACTATTTTGTTCTTTAGTGAGTTGTTCGTAACTATGTTTCTCCTTGCAGTCCAGATTATCATGTGAATGAGACGCAACAATTTTTCATCAACAAAAGAATCTGGTTGTTGAAAAGTCATTCGCGCAATCGTTTCAGATCAGAAATAAAAACAAACACAAAACCAATATTTTCATCTGAATATAGGTGAACTGGATGTCCAGAATGTTAGTTTGGATGCAATTCCTCCAGTGCGCCTGGCGTAACGTGTTTGTTTCTAAAACCCATACCGCTTGCATTGAACTCTGAAGGCCCGAACACCACCACCCATACCGCAATGGTACATGTTAATTTCCAGTCATCGATTTTCACATATTAAAATTCCCCCAAGGGCAGTTATTGTCAAAGTTCTGAGATAAAATTAAGAGCTGATGTTNATGTTCAATTCTCCTCCCCCGCCCACCCTATCGAAGAAGGCTATATTAAAAACCGGAAGTTCTGTTTTGCTTCACCTCTTACAGTTCAAACACCTCGCTCGGTTAATTTATTCTCAAGCATTGGTTGTGTGTGAGGCGCCGGCAAAAATGAGGTTTCCCTGATTACACACTCACACGCGGATTATTTATGATAGCACAATTCTTTGTGGCACGGTATGATACTGCTGTTTTGCGCCCGATTGAAGTCATCGATCCCACGGCACCGGCAAACAAGGGCCAATCGGGGATTCGGAAGTGGGGGGGGCGGGCGGGCGGGATGGGAAGAGAAGTGAACTTGATGAAATTCCTCGATGCTGTTTCCGGCATGATGCCAAATCGGCCGGATTGGGTAATCTACTGCTGGGACGGTGAAATAATCTCCCCTATCTGAACTTTCAAGCAAAGTGACCGGGTGCTGTACAATTTATTTGTGAAACACGTGTAATCCGTATCCGCCTCTCCGGTTGCACAATTCAGACAAATATGACCGGAGAGAGAGAGAGACAACAGCCAGATAACAGCTACTTCCAATAAGCTGTTTGTATAAAAATGGAGCATAGCCTAATTAAAACAGTCCCAAAGTCACAAATAACAACTTTTTCTGCTTGAATAAATCGTGAAACTGGTCGTGTGTACTTCCAGGGGATTTTTATCCCGAAANTCATGTGACAATTTAGGCCTGCCTACCACAACCTAAATATAGAGATCTATCCCATCTTAAGTCATTTTTGGATGAAGACAAATAAAATCACACCGGGACAAAGATGTCATGTAACAAGTAGATCACCTTTTGAATCGATTCAGACAGTGCGCGGCTGTGAGAACCCATCCGGATGCGAGGAAAACACCCCCACACAAATGCCTGACGCTTGCTCGTTTGGTCATCGGTAATCGATAGCCAATTGTGACCAGATGTGTTGTGATCAATTCCAGTAAATTCTTTGAACGTAATAACTCGTTCGACGAGGGTGTTGTAATTGGGCCGGTGATATTTTCCACAGAAGCACAATCCACACATTCGATGACGGACGTGGTTTCACTCTGACCGACCGGGGCATTCGCTCTCTCGGAATACGGCGATTTGACAGATGACTCGTTTTGTCTATATGTTTTGAGAAGTTTCAACAGTCCATCCGATCGTCTTCGCACGCGGTAACCCCGATAAATAGCCGGTTTTATTATCGGTCGACCATGAACATTGTCTAAAATTTATGGGAAAGAAGGATACTGTTGTCAAATGGGTAATTACGGTTTAACGGGCGAATTATTGTCTCTGTGAAGTTGCTACTCCCCTGTGTTTGTAATGGAATTTTGTATGCTGTAAAGAGAAACAGTAGGCATTTTTAGGTGCCCGTCGATACGCATGGGGGTAGGGATTACGCATGTGTTAGCATATAAGAATTTTCTATTTTTAAGGCTCTTCCACTTCTGTGGCTTCGACATTCAAGTCAAGTCGAAATAGAGCTTATGCACCCGATAGGGGAGAAAATACATACATGAAACGAGTAATACGTAAACGATGAGTGGATTAAAACAAAGAAGCACTAGCTGGACAAGTGATTTTCAGTGCCAGTAGTGACAGTTGTCCGAATGACGTGCAAGATAAGGGATGATGCCGTTTGGGTTTGTGGTGGTACGTGCATGATTAAGCCTAAATTTGAAACCAGTGGACGTGGATCAGTCCCAAACTATTTATTGAGATGAATGTCGTTGTGACCTACAATCGTTTTTTACATTTGCCACGCCTGTCCGTAGCTGGGTTGATAGATTGGTTGATTGATCCGCTGATGAATTGACCGTTTGAATGCCTTCTTGATCACATTCGGTGACAAGAGCCATTGTTGGTCTGCCTGCATGCCTGCCTGCCTACTCAGCAGTGTTTTTCGGTCCTAATGAATCGCGTGACATATACATACTTCTTTTTACAACCTGAAGGCTCATTTTAGCAGTTTGTTAACCATTTGTAACTCTTTGCCTCTCTGCGGTAGTATGTGTGTAAAAACTGGTGTAGCGGTTTTAACCTGTGGGTCGGTTTAAATTCACCGGACCGACAGAACCAGGAACAGGAAGGAATTCATGTTAAACTGTGCGCTTGTTGGAGTCAAAGAAACGGTTTACTTCACCTTGCCCCGCATCACTGATTGGCAAATTCAAACAAGACCGTATTAAGAGCACCATGGTAACTGCATACCCGATAAACAGTATTGTGCTAGCAGTGCTAGACAGGGAGTAAAATAAAATAGAATAAAATGTTGGAACATTCAGTAGGAATTTCCCAATGGTGTTCAGTGAAATCAATATAGAACATGTGTTGCACATGAACAGAATCCTGTGATTCCTAAGTAGTGCGGTGATCCCAGCCTACAAGATAACGCATAACCTGGAGCAACGCGGTACAGTTTTAGGACAGCGGTAATTAACCTAGCTTCACGGATGACGTCAGCAAAGCGCATGGGTGCCACAGCTTCCGGACTACATACCATAGGTCAATTGTATCAGTCAATGAGAACCCGTGCGGTCCAGGCAGAAGCAGAACAACGGCAAAATACTAGCATCCCACTGGCAGACGCCCGGATTACCAATGAGCTTGCTTCGCACATATTATTTATTTTCAAAGGGGAATTCGTCGTGTATATAGCACATGAAACGTGAACCAAAAGGCTAGAAGCACTGGATAGCTGGTTCGACCTGGTTGGGTCTCATCAGCAGTGCAAATCCATCGACCCAACCGGGGATCGAACCAGGGACTAGCCTCCAGGGT